ATATACCCCATTGCTGATGTCTTTTCAAACTGATTAAGAGAGTTTTAAAAACAAGTTTAAGAAAGTTTTAAACAAGGGTTTGAGTTTGTTTAGTTTATTTTTTGGGGTTTGCTGTTACAAAGAGGAGCTTGCATCACCAGTTGAGGATTTCATCCCCAAAATCTTCTCATCCTCTCTTTGTGTTTATAGAGAAGTTTTCTAACTCTTTTCCCTAGCAATTTCATTGTTGATTTATCATATATTAATTATTGCTAGTTTGCTATTTGAGTTAGATTTCATTTTACTCATTGTTACACACACCCACATTGAGCTTTTAGTATTTACATACATAGTATAGTTGGGTGGTGAGAGATTGTAACTTTGAGTTGTGCTTTCATTGTGTTCTCATCTATTGTAGAGAACAAATTTATATTTGTTACATTGTGAGTGTTGTAAGGTTTTCGGTGAGCTAGAAACCGAGTGTGTAGTGAGGTTTTCGGTGAGCTAGAAACCGAGTGTGAGGAGTGACGTTGATCGGTGAGCGTTGAAAACCGATACTGTGAGGTGTAAACGTTATTCGGGTGAACGTAGAAAACCCGGTTGATAGTGGATTTCTCCCCGGGAGTGGGGAGCGGAGACGTAGGACGGAAGGTCCGAACTCCGTGATCATATCTTGTGTTTGAGTGTGCTTTGGCGTTTATTTATACTTGTGTTTATAATTCTTGTTGCCATTGTCATTAGCTCATCATTTATATGATCCACTATCTAGTTCATATTGTTTACCCTTGTGTTAGTTTATATATCCTTACATATATATATATTGATTGAAGATCAACTTCGGTTCCCGTCCATGACGAGTGGTCACGACCCTCAGGTTGATCATGAGTCCCAGTGATTATAGTTGTATCAGTTCCGGCAACTGGTCCTATAATTCGAACACTTATATGATTAATCAAGTTAAAAAAAGTATATATATATATATACGGAGTTTACAGAATAGAGGTCTTACTTTCAGAAGGACCTGCTTCTGTTGAACCGACTCTAACGGTGGATTCTGTGGCTGCACCAGGAGTTTTCCCTGATAATAAATCAGAGATATACTGATGGTCGCCTTCAGAGAGATCAAGATCGAGGTGGTGCTCATTGAATTCCTCGACCTCTGTTGTATGTGTGGCCTCTCCTTCAACGGATTCTTTCATTATGGCATCTACAGAACGTGTAGAGTCATAAACAACATATAGATTTAAACGAATTTGCTCGAGATGAAGATTAATTTTACCTTTGTCGATCGGGACGGATTCAAGAGCTCCACTACTTGTACCCGCTTCTTTTAGTTTGACTAAAAGGAGACAAAGCGCACAAGTCATTAGAGGAGGCACACGATCCGACTCATTCATTTCTCGGATTTCTCTTTCGAAAGGAGAAAGATCAGTACCTGTGTCTGAAGCAGATGGATCAACGTCAGAAGTGGGTGGAACACCAGCTGTTTCATCTTTCAGAGCATCCGGCATTTGTTGGACAAAGCTGGGCTCCTCAACCTCCATCCCGCCAGGAGAAGCAGCGTCTGCTCGATATTCTCCCTCTTCTTGACTCCCTACAAGAATTGAGTTATAAGACATGCTCGAATATGAAGAAATATAAGAGCAGTAAAAGGAAGATAAAAACGAATTGTTACCCTGTTCATCCGAAGAAGCGCTGCGAGCAAATGTCTCCTCTAAAGCAGGAAGACGAACACGTGGCTTAGAGACAACCTTCTTTTGTCTTTTCAATGGACGCACCTCATGCTGAGCCCCAGATCCTTCGTGACGATGCTTAGTGCGCAATTCAGCTCCGGGAAGGACTTGGGATTGAGCTCGAGTGGAAGGTCGTGACCTTTGCCTACGAGCAAGTGGAACTTCATCCTCTTCATCCCCACTGTGAACCTCTACCGTCATCCGGTTAGGATAAGTCATAACGACTCTCTCCCTCCTTCTCTTCGGGACATTCGGTGGTTGGGTAGGCGCAGCAGAAGGGCGTACAAGTCCTCTTTCAAAGAAAGAGTCAGGGAGACCTACTGTTTCCTCAGAACTTGAACCAGTCTCGCTCGCCCCTTCAGATGTTTATGTTTCCTCAGAATCAAACTCTTCTTCACTACTAGTTGGGAGGGCTGGTTCCTTTCCCTTTCTGGAAGATTCAGCGGCATCTTTTCCTTAAGGCGACATTACAGCTTCACGAGTCGCTTCTGTTGCTTGTCGTGGAGCTACCTCTTCCTCTGAGTCTAATATTCTCCTATGTCGGGTGACGATATTGGCAGCTATCAGCCACTTGCAATACAGGAAGGTCATACGTAGAGGCGGTGCTTCTAAAGGAAGATCAAATTCAGCATTTGTACAGCCGGGGATGCTCCAAAACCAAGCTCTCGCCCCGTCGATAAGTCCACCTCGAAAGCTAAGGTGACGATTCGGATTGTCGACATATATTTGGTCGTAGCCAAATTGACGAGCAAATCGACATGGAAGATAAGGTTCAATGTGACAAATATCTTTTACCCTGAACAATAGATATCCAGGTCGAATATTCATCAACCATCTGAAGCATCCGACATCCAAGATGGTGCGATTCTACCGTGGGTCTTCAGCATCCAATAAAGTCGTGTTGTAGGTACCGGAGAACCGAGGGAAGCAGGGGAAGAATTCCCAACACTTGTGAATTTTGAACTGTCTTGTGATGTCCGGCCATCGATGTTTGATCCATTTGCAACCCTCAAGGGTCTGTAGAAGAGGAAGACTAGAATCCACCGCCTCAGGAGCCTCCATTAAATCTGGCCGGTGAAGAACTAACCATGTCATTAAATATGTATAGGGTAATTCTAGCTTCGGAGTAGATATATTGGTGGAAGCTTTCTTTTTCTCCTGTGTGAATACGGAAACTAATTGCCGTAATCCACTGTGAATAGCTGCCACCATAGCAGGAAGCAAGGATAATTTGCGACCCGTAGCCAACTGGGTGGCTGGATACAACACTTCCATTGGCATAGCGTCAGATGACTGGTGGGGAATTACACATCTCTTCAGCCATAAAGCCAAATAACCAGCCAGCAAAGTAGTGGGACGAATCGGAACACTAGCTTGCCACAGATAAGGTCGAAATTTAGTTCCATGCAAAAACCCATCTTCTGAATGAGAAGTGTAAGATTGTGCGTTCGTTTTCTCCAACAGCCGATTGATGTCACCCGGGCTCAAAGGAGATAATCCACGTACCTCTTCCGATCGATCCTCCAGGTTCTTGAACAGATAATCGGCGAATTGCTTTAAGCTGATCTGGGAAGACTTCTTCCTAGCTTTAGTATCCATCTCAGCCATGGCTATGTGGTAATGACAAGTCAGCTCCCATAGGGTGTCGTGGGTTACAGCTGACCGATCCTTCATCTTATTAAGCTGATTGGTAGTAGGGAAGAATTCTTGATAAGAGACATTACCCATGGGTAAACCGGAAACCTTCATCATTTCGTGTAATGGTAATCCGAGCTCTCCATTCTTGGTGAAGAATGTGTTGGTATCAGGGTTATAGATATTGAATAAGCAGAGGAAATGACCCACACTGATCTGCAGACCATACATAGTGGCACAGATTGGGACTTCCAACCCTAGTTCTGCTAACTCTCGCCCCCAACGGTTCAACACATAGCGAGTCATTCTGGTCCACCACCACTTGTCTCCAAAATAATGAACCCATCCGTAGCATCTGAAGTTCTGGTTGGATAGTTTCTTTTTCACTGCAGCTAAACGTTTCCTCACGATATTTGCATGTGCTGTCTTTTCATTCTGTGGAATATTGTCTTGACTTAAGATGCCCGGATGAAGTCCCCGCACAGAAGCTCTTTTGCTGGAACCCGGGGTGGTCTCTTTCCCAATGAAGCCACAGTGAATATGTTCATGGTTCTCGGTCAACCTCCAGAACATTTCACGTCCAACTGACAAAGTTCCTGAACTTTAACAGTGAGTGCTCTCGAGGGATAAAGGGCAAGTACAAGAATGACGAACCATTCTCGTGTAACCACTACGCAGGCTTGCAGAAAGCAATCTCCGGATCCTTTATGGAGTCACCAAATAAGAAGTCTGGTTTCCTTATACATTGGTTTGAGTCCTGCTCTGAAATCAAGGTTGCATCCGTGATTAATCGTCGTAGAACACGACGACTACCTCGCCGGATCAACTCTCTAGCCCCTTCGCTATAGTCAGATTTGAATTAGGGAGCGGATTCGATTAGCGGTAACCCCTCATAATAAGAGTGGGTAGCGCTACTTTGGCCCGTAACCGCATCAGCAATAAAAACGGTAGAAGGAAATTGAACTGATGAAGAAAACATACACATAAATTGTGTAAGAATAGTCCTAAAATTTTAGAGAAAGCGGTATATCTTACTCTATCAGATATAGTCACTATCTCATAACAGGTGTGACGATTTTCCATCGACCACATGTGTAAAGGAGATATGCATTACTATGCACGGGCATTATAACGGCATATCGAAACCTTTCAACACACGTGGGATGATATAAAATCGCCCATGTATGTACTGAAATGCGTTTTGTCTAAGCAAAACAAGCACTTTTAAGCGTCGATCCCCTCAAAGGAGGATACCGACTCTTCTCGAAGGTATCTTAAAGGATACAAATGAGGATCTGCATACAAATACAGTAATGTACATATAAAATTGACAAAATACAGTATATAAATCGATGAAAGGGTGAGAAGTATACCCCCATGTGAAGCGGAAACGGGAGCAGCCCCCTCAGGGGACTGAACAGTCGGATGGCCTCGGGAAGCGCGGGATCGTCGCGGTGACATGATGAGTACACAAGCTACAGTAAAATCCAACGAGAAAGTTAGGGTTTTGAACATGAAATTGACCAAAATATCACAATATAGGACTGAAACAGTGCATGCAAGGTTGAAGTCAAAGAAGATAAAATTTTAAAGAAGAGAGGGAGAACAAACCTAGAAGAACTCTTCAAAATCCGAAGGGCCAATTTCAGGCAGATGTATCACATGGGAGCCATGGGTAAGACCCTCAATGAGCTGCATGCTATGCTCAAAACTGCTGAGCAAAATGTCTTGGTTGAACCTAGGAAGGATGTTCTTATGGTCAACAAAGGGAAAGGGTTTAAGAAAGGGCCACAGAAGAAGCAACAGTCTCAAGGGAAGGGCAAGACAGTTGTTCCACCTAAGGGAAACACACCTAAAATAAAGGTGGCTGCTGAGCATGACTGCTTCTACTGCAAGGCTAAGGGGCACTGGAAGAGAAACTGCCCCAAATATCTGGAAGATAAGAAGAGGGGTGCCTCTGCTTCAGGGACTACGAAATAGGAGACGGTTGCAGAAGGGTGAGATAGATCTTCGCGTTGGAAATGGAGCAAGAGTTGCTGCACTTGCCATTGGAGATTATAGTCTACCGCTACCTTCTGGCTTGGTTTTAGAACTTTATAATTGTTATTTTGTTCCTTCTATTACTAAGAATTTGATTTCAATTTCAGTTTTGAACCTTGAGGGTTATAATTTTGTCATTAAGGATTGTTTTTCTATTTTTAAGAATGACATCTTTTATGCTCAAGCCCATATGAATAATAGTGGATTATACATATTGGATCTCAAATCTGAAGTTTATAACGTTGATACAAAACGGCAAAAGTCGAATGACATAAGTGAAGCCAATCTATGGCATTGTCGCCTAGGCCACATTAGCATTAAACGCATGAAGGAACTCCAAACAGTTGGTAGCCTAAAGTCATTTGATTTAGAATCATTTGAAACATGTGAATCATGTCTAATGGGTAAGATGACAAGGTCACCTTTCAAAGGTACAAGTGAAAGGACTACTGAGCTCTTAGCTCTCATACATACCGATGTGTGTGGACCTATGAGCATAGAAGCTAGGAGAGGCTATCGATACTTTATTACATTTACTGATGATTTTAGTAGATACGGGTATATATACCTAATGAAACATAAATCTGAGTCTTTTGAAAAGTTCAAAGAATTTCAGCATGAAGTTGAGACACAAAGGCTATAAATACCCCCCTAGGGTCACTTCTGACGAGGATCGAGCATATTTTCGAGCAATTCAGAGCAGAGAGAGAGCAGACGCTGTTATTCTTGGATTCCCTTGAGATTCGAGCTTTGACTTGATTTCAAAAAGAACGACTATCTTACTTTGATAAGATATCGTTTTAAATTCTCACTTCAATAAATGAAGGAAGAATCATAAAGCCCCCTTCACGATCTGTGATTCGGCGGTCCACGAACCAAAGCGTTCTCGGCACAGGCAAAGTCCCACAAAAAAAAAGAATCGATAGACGATTTTTGTGTTATTTTCTCAAAAGTTGTAATTTTTGCTTTGTTGTGTAGAAAAAGGTCTTATAAAAAGACTATTTCTTTGAATTTGTTGTAATCGACTGAAGATATAATGAATTCCTCAACAAAACCAATTTTTGACGAAAACAGTGAACAATACCGATTATATGGAATTCTCGCACCACCCGGCTGATTGGAGGAAGCCGCAAGAACATGTGCACAAGGTATTTTTTGAAGTTGTGGTATGTTACATGTGCAAGTGCAATCAACATCAAATAGTTTAATGGTGTAGATACGGTCATAATCCTGTACCTGCCATTCATTGTCTTTGAATACAGTAATTTGACATAATCTTGCCACCTCAATTCTTCTATGCAAAATAGACTCATTCTTTGGTGTGTAACGCGTTGTCCAGTCTACACCGTCCTCACGCCTTTTGTTAAAGTATGAGTTTAGCCTATAGAACGTTCTTGCAACCAATGATTGTATTGGCATAGCTCATTCTCCTTTAAGAACGCTGTTAAAGCTCTCGGAGCAATTAGTTGTCATCATGCAAAACCGCACACCCTCATCCTTATATAATGCCCATCGATGCTCGAATTGAGGCTTCAAGTTATGTTCAATCCAATTATGTGCATCTAATGACAATGACTTGATCTTCTCTCTACAATGTTCATACACTAATGTATCGGTTGCACACCCAGCTTGCCACAAAAGATTTTGCAAATTAATCTCACCGTGTTTTTTCTTAAAATTATCTCTTATATGCCTCAAACAATATCGATGGTGATGTGGTGCACCAAAACCCTCATGTAATGCCCTTATAATTCCTTTCATCCTATCTGAGATAAAAGTAATTAATCTGGGCGCACGGACACTAGGAATCCACTTGTATATAAGTTCAAAGAACCACTTCCAACTAGAAGTATCCTCTACCTTCACAACTGCAAATGCTAGAGGAAATAAACCGCCATTTGCATCTACACCAGTCGCCACAAGAAGCACGCCTTTGTACTTGCCATATAGATGTGTACCGTCAATGCTCAATAATGGACGACAAAAAGTGAAGCCCTTAATAGCCGGACCAAATGCCCAAAATACTCGAGTGAACCTCTCCATCCCCGGTGCAATCTCTTCAGACAATATTTCATATTCAGTACCCGGATTATTTCGCTTGATAGCTTCAAGATACTGTGGAAGTAATTCATAAGATTTTTCCCAATCTCCAAATATTTTCGACAACGCTTTCCTCCTTGCATCATATGCCTTATATTTAGATATCTTAATGCCCCGCATATCATATACCCTTTGAAATATCTGACTTGCATTTAGATCAAGTTCAGCTCTAACTTCAGGCATAATTAGCTTACATATATAAGAGGAAGATGCAGAATAATGATCGACGTCCACCGACGGATTGCAACATGTATGAAGCCCGCAATATCTAGATATTACAAATTGCCCATTTGTTGATTTCCTCACAGCGGCATTTAGCAACCAAGGACATTTCCTGTTTCTCTCATCTTGCTCATTTGCATGCTCTACTTCATTCTTCTCGTTGAAATAACATTTTACATAGTAGTTGATTGCATTAGTTTTTACAGGCTTGAATTTGACCCGATTTTTTATAGACCATTCTCGCACCGCAAAGATTAATGCTTCCTTACTCTCGAATAAGTCCCCTTTTTTAAAAGTGAAGTCCTCAGGCCGTTGAAAGTTTAGACCAACATCAACAAATTCAGCTTGCGAAGTATTTATCCAATCTTCATTATGAAACTCGTCGGGCAACGGATCTTCAGCTTCCACATAATCATTGTTAACATTAAATTGATCCATCCAACGAGAATCATCATCGATTCCAACTGCCACATGCATGCTATCAATTTGCACATCTTCTTCTTCAATATCTTCTGAGTCATCATTTACTTCTTCTTCTACAATTGATCCGGCCGGTAGATCACCCGTAATATAGCCTGATACGTCGTTAAATATAGTACTTGACGTCCCACCAAGAGAATGCCCACTTAAATGTTGTAGTTGACACCACGGCTCTTGACTTGGAGATGTCATAAAACCACTCGACTAATTGTCTAAGTTCATAATCCGAGAAAACTCTCCTTGTGGTCGTAAAACTTGGGCAAATTCTTAAATCAGATACTTCTCAATGAACAACTCAACTGACACTTGCTTCTCCACTAATTTTTTCATGTCATTCAATTCCTCATCATTGGTAATCGCCACAGCAATAGTTCTACTCTCATTTATTAGACAATTGAAGAACACTTTAATTGCATACCATGCTTTATTAATTTTCGTAACTCTGTGTATTTCATTCATCATTCCATCAAAATTTAATGACTTAAATAGCATAAACATTTTCCTAGAACCTCCCTCATACATCGGCACACTATTCAATCCGACGCCGAGGCTCCTATTGAAGAAGCAAATAATGGGTATAGAGTTTGCCATCGAAGCTGAAAATCAACAGTCCATCATATGTAAATAATCTATTATAACTGGAAATATTAATCTTAATTTAAAGTCAAATTTAAAACCCTAATCTCAACTACAAAGCAAATAATGACTAAATTCCCTAATCCCAAATCACATTATTCATGTCTAAACCCTAATCATGGCTAAACCCTAATCTCAAATCACATTATTCATGTCTAAACCCTAATCATGTCTAAACCCTAATCACATTATCATGTCTAAACCCTAATCATGTCTAAACCCTAATCACATTATTCATGTCTAAACCCTAATTCCCTAATCTCAACTAAATACATTCCCAAATTTCAACCTTAATCCCAAATCTCAATTAAATCCATTCCCAAATCTCAACCATAATTCTCAAATCTCAACCCAAATCCATTCCCAAATCTCAACCCAAATCCATTCCCAAATCCGAAATTTCATGGCTAATCAAAATTAAAAAAAAACCACATTTACCTTGGTCGGCGATGGCGGTCGGAGTGCGCTTGGTCGGCGGCGGCGGTGGTCGGAGGGTGCTTGGTCGACGGCGACAATGGTCGGCGTCGATGGGTTTGAGGAGCGGGTGAAAGAAGGTGGGGTGAAAGGGTTTGGATGAAAAAAGAGGATGAAGTCACGGGTAGATTTTTTACCCCCCGATCGCACGGGACTACTAGTCCCGTGTTTTTCGAAACTGCCTCGAAATACACGGGACTAGCAGTCCCGTGTATGTCGTAAAATTTCTTCTTTAGCAAAACCGACCCTTTTTAGAAGAAAAGGGTCAGTTTTGCTGGATAAATTTCTAAGAGGTCGATTTTTCTATTTAAACTATGAAAATGGTTGATTTTGAAAATTTGTCCTAGATTTTCTATCCAGATTTTCCTACAAATAATTGCGACTACAATTTTTTAATCTAAAATTAATCTATTTTCATGATATTAGGTCTCATACATGATTGGTATTTTTTTATACACCAAAATCACATATATTTCTTAAATTATTTTAGATTTGCATTTTGCTATCCATGGATCTAGATTCGTACATAATATCATGATAGAATTTGGATCATTTGGATAAGATATATATATATACACACAAAAGATTTTATGCAAGTGCAATGCACGTTGTTACATACCATTATTAGGTTATTTTTAATTTATTTTCTTACTTAAATTTATTTCTCGGTTTCATTTTGATGAGTTTGCTTGCTTATGTCTCTAAACTTTAGCCTTATGATTATTTAATTCATTTGATGTTTGTTTGAATTGTCTACGTTGATCATTGAATTAACAGGAAACAAATGTAATCCAAAGTCAATTTGATTTTTTTATATTATTTGGACTGATATAAAACCAAACTTGACTTGAGAAAGTATGGTATTGTGAAAGTGAAGAACACTTGAAAATGTAGCGTTATTAAAGTAAGACATATAATTAAAGATAATAGACTAAGATGATTAGTTAAAAGTGAGTTAGAATGAAACTAAAGAGAATATGAAGTTTATTTCTAATTATTGATAGACTTTATTACAAAAAATCATTAAC